TACATATGGGAAAGAGACTATCAATGTTGAGGAGATTACTGCAGCCTTGTTGGCTCACAACCAGCGGAAGCAGAATGCAGGGGAAAGCTCTCAAGCCGTTAGCTTATATGTCAAGGGTAATCGAGATCGTGGACGGAAGCCAGAGAAGGCAGGGTCCGGGAAGCGGAATTCCAGATCCAAATCCAGGGATAAGAAGACGATTCACTGTTACAAGTGCAAGGAGGCGGGACATATGAAGCGAGACTGTCCGAAGTTGAAAAAGCAGACTGATGAGAAGCGTGATGGCTCATCCAAGTCTGTGAACGTGGTCGAGGATGATAATTCTGATTGCAGTGAGGGTGATATGCTTTCTATTTCAACGACACAATTGACGGATGCTTGGATTCTTGATTCTGGATGTTCTTATCACATCACGCCAAATAGGGAATGGTTTTCGACATACAGGCCGGTTAATTCTGGTTCGGTTTATTTGGGTGATGATCGATGTTGCAATATTGTTGGTATTGGTGATGTCAGAATTAAGATGCACGATGGCTCCGTTCGGACGTTGAGTGGTGTTCGACATATCCCAGACTTGAAGAAGAATTTGATTTCCTTGGGCACTTTGCACAAGAATGGTTTTATCCCTAAGGCTGACGAGGATAGGGAAACCATTCGGATTGTTAAAGGAGCATTGACTGTGATGAAAGGCAAGATGACTGCAGGGAATATCTACAGATTGTTAGGGAGTACCGTTGCAGGTGGAGTTCACTCTGTTGAGTCCTGTGATGATACGACAAAATTGTGGCATATGCGCCTTGCTCATCTTAGTGAACGTGGTATGGCAGAATTACACAAGAGAAACTTGTTGCATGGTGTCAAAAGCTGTAAGCTCGACTTTTGCAAGTATTGTGTTCTTGGTAAACAGACTAAAGTCCGTTTCAAGACTGCGAAGCACACAACTCAAGGGATTCTTGATTATGTGCATTCTGATGTATGGGGGCCTTCTACGACATCGTCTTTGGGTGGATCTAGGTACTATGTTACTTTTATTGATGATTTTTCACGGAAAGTTTGGGTGTATTTTTTGAAACAGAAATCTGAAGTTTTTGAGAAGTTCAAGCTGTGGAAAGCTGAGGTAGAAAACCAAACAGGACGAAAAATCAAGTGTTTGCGGTCTGACAATGGTACGGAGTACACAGATTCACAGTTCCTACAATTCTGTAAGGAGCATGGGATTCAGAGGCATTTTACAGTGCGCAAGACACCACAACAGAATGGTGTTGCGGAACGAATGAACAGGTCGTTGAATGAAAGAGCCAGATGTTTGCGGTTGAATGCGGGGCTTCCCAAACACTTCTGGGCTGAGGCTGTTAACATGGCGTGTTACCTTATCAACAGATCGCCAAGGGCATCGTTGGCTGGGAAAGTTGCAGAAGAGGTATGGACTGGTCATGATGTTAGTTTTGATAACTTACAGATTTTTGGTTGTCCTGCTTATGTGCATGTACCTGCTGATGAGAGATCCAAACTTGATGCAAAATCGAAGGAGTGCATTTTTCTGGGTTACAAGAAAGGTGTCAAAGGATTCAAGTTCTGGGATCCAGTTGCGAAGAAAGTTGTGATTAGTAGAGATGTCGTTTTTGATGAACAATCCATGTTGCAGCAGAAGCAAGACACGACAGTGGTGGATTTCGAGCAGTTTCCAGTTAAGAAACCAGAAACTTCTCAACCGACTTCTGGTGGTTCCACTACGGATGATTTGCAGGATTATAGTCTCGCCAGAGACAGGGTGAGACGGACGAATATAAAGCCTCCGAACAGATTGGGTTTTGAAGACTTGGTATCTTTTGCACTTATTGTTAGCAGTGATGATCCGGTTACTTTTCATGATGCCGTTACTAGTCAGGAAAACGACAAGTGGATGGCAGCCATGGTTGAGGAGATGGAGTCTTTGAATCACAATCGCACATGGGAGTTAGTTCCCCTTCCTGAGGGTAAGAAGCCGATTGGTTGCAAATGGGTGTATAAGAAGAAACCAGTAGTAACAGAAAAAGAGGGGGAGAAGTTCAAGGCTCGTTTGGTAGCGAAGGGTTTTTCACAGCAGAAAGGAGTTGATTATGATGAAATCTTTTCTCCTGTGGTCAGGCACACTTCAATCCGAGCAGTACTTGTATTGGTGGCTAGTTGGGATTTGCATTTAGAGCAGATGGATGTTAAAACTGCTTTTTTGCATGGTGATTTAGAGGAGCAGATCTACATGCGGCAACCTGAAGGTTTCACTCAACCTGGAAATGAGCATTTAGTTTGCAGATTGAAGAAATCTTTGTACGGGTTGAAACAGTCTCCGAGACAGTGGTATAAACGGTTTGACTCCTATATGATCAAGATTGGCTACAACCGATGTGAGTATGATTGTTGTGTCTATGTTAAGAGCCTTGATGATGGTTCTTTTATTTTTCTATTACTGTATGTTGATGATATATTGATTGCTGCGAAGAACATGGATGATGTTATTGGTTTGAAAACTTTATTGAGTCAGGAATTTGATATGAAAGATTTAGGTGCTGCAAAGAAAATTCTTGGAATGGAAATTTGCAGGGACAGAGACTCAAGGAAACTGCGGCTATCTCAACGGGGTTATGTTGAGAAAATGCTAGAAAGGTTTGCGATGAGCAGCGCAAAACCAGTTAGCACTCCATTGGCGAATCACTTTAAGCTCTCATCAGAACAGTGCCCCAAGACAGATAAGGAAGCTGAAGATATGGCAAAGGTTCCGTATTCTAATGCTGTTGGCTGCTTGAGGTATGCGATGGTATGTACTCGTCCTGATTTAGCTCATGTTGTTAGTCAAGTTTGTAAGTACATGTCTAAACCTGGTAAGCAACATTGGGAAGCAGTCAAGTGGATCTTTCGGTACTTAAAGGGTACTGTGGGACATGGAATTGTTTTTGGGAGTCAGCGGGATAATCCTTTGGTTGTAGGATATGTGGATTCAGACTATGCAGGTGACTTGGATAATAGAAGATCTACGACAGGGTATGTCTTTACTCTTGGTGGAGGGCCTATTTGTTGGAAGTCTACTGTTCAATCTATTGTGGCTCTATCTACAACTGAAGCTGAGTACATGGCAGCGGCTGAAGCTGCAAAATAAGCTTTATGGCTTACTGGTTTAGTGAAGGAGTTGGGTGTTCAACAAGGTGGAGTTCAGTTGCTTTGTGATAATCAAAGTGCTATTCACTTGGCTAAGAATCAGGTGTATCGTGCTAGAACTAAACATATTGATGTAAGGTTCCACAAGATCAAAGAGTTGGTTGCATCTGGAGAGGTTTTGTTTCAGAAGGTACATACTGATGAAAATGCCGCTGATATGTTCACTAAGCCAGTTACGACAGACAAGTTCAAGCATTGCTTGGACTTGTTGAATGTTTCGAGTTGTTAAAGAATCAAGGTAACCCAACCCACATTGAATTTTCAAGAGGCAGGATATTCGCCAAGGTGGAGATTTGTTAGGTATGGCTCATAAATATACCAGTAAAGAGGACAGGAGATGGAGCTGCGTTCGCTTCGCTCACTCCGCTCCATCTCCTGTCCTTACAAAGAAAGTCTCGTTGTGGGGTTACGAATTATGTGGGTTGGGGGTGCGGGGGCGCAGCCCCCGTGGTACGGTACAGGGTTAATTTTGTAATTATGTACCAGGGTTTTCTATTATAAATAGAGATGTAACCTAGACCTAAAATATCATTGAATAAAAACTTCTAGCGCCGCCTAGGCACCGAGGACGTAAGCACATTGCCGAACCTCGTAAAATTCTCGTGTTCTTTTGTTTTCTTTACCCGTTTTCGTCAACATCTTGTGATAGACTTGTGTTGCATTCAGGTCATACCCCCAAGGTTTCTTTTATTACTTGGATGGCAATTCTGGACAAACTATTTATTAAAAGCAGGCTCATTTTGTTCGGTATGTTTCTTAATGGGTTGTGTGATTTTTTTTTTGAATGAGCGGGAAACGAGGGACCATTTGGTCTTCTAGTGTAGCTTTTTCAAGGTTGTGTGGAAGAAATCCTGTAGATTTGTCTGTTGCGGAGAAGGGTTTTAGATTGGAGTCGAGAGCTCCACTAGGCATGCTATCATTTGAAAGGGAAAGCTTCGTTGTTGACTTTGTTAAAGTTGGCTTGGAATTGTTGTGTTCCGAGTCTGGACAAGTGTGCTTAGACACGATTCATATAATATTGAATGCATTTCAAGTTTAGTTTTTAATGACATTACACAACATCAAAAGATTTGTTAATGAGATTTTTATTATAGCAAAAACAACATTCCACAATTTTCACGATACCACCAAGTTAAATAATGATGCTGTAGCAGCAAATAGAACTTCCAAGCTCAATCTCCAAGAGAATGAGCATTATAATTATTAAAAAACAAAGTGAAAAAAATAGAATAAAAAAACAAATTAAAATACGTAAAAAACAATACGAGCATAAAAATATAATAAATTTACATTAATATATAAATTATTCTTTAGTGGAGTAGGGCAAATAAATTATTAAAAATATAAATATAAATAAGTAACATAAACACCCAAATACATCTATATAGACATTAAATAAATTATTAACATAAAATATAATTTTTCAATACTTTGACTCATTAAATAACCATAATTTTTAATTATGCTTTTGTCTGTTAAAGACTGACTCATTAGAACAATTTTAAAATTATGATGTAGATTTTAATTTTTTTTTCTTTTTTATATCAATATTTTATAATTTTGTAGGATGATCTTTAGAATTATCTATGAACTTATTATTTAATTTTATTCAAGGTTTGTATTTAATTTAGTTTGTTAATATTTGAAGGATCATAATTAGTTTCTCATGTTTGATTATGTTTTGGATACATGAATACGAAAGAAAATGAAAAGTCAAAAAAAGCTTAGCAAGCAGAATAGAGTAATCTTTAGAACAAGGTAGATCATTTACAGTTAAATTAAAGATGGGAAATTCTGTAAGAATGATGTGCTTCTAACTGTCATTTTTCCTTGTTGATTAATAAAAGTTACAGTAACCACCATCTCTAGTTTTCCACTTAAGGAGACCTATATATGCTCCCCAAGGTAACAAGGATGGAAAAAAATGTTTACATGGTATTAGTGATGTTTGTTTTACAAAATTACATTGTCCGATTTGTGCTAATTCTCTCGCAGTCAATTCAAGCGAGAGGTGACTTCAAGAAAGATGTCTTCGTTGCAAGGAATTTTGAGACCGCCAGTAGGATGACTATATCCGAACTCTTCTTCTGACATGCCTAGCAAACCTTGAAACAAAGGCTGGTTCAAGAACGATACTGGTATTACAAATCTCTTCTGGTTCTCTCCAACGTAAACTACAAAGTATCCCTTGGGAACTTTCTTAGAGCTCACAATACGAGGCAGGCGGATAGCCATTGTTGTTTTCGATGGATGTATTAAAGGTAAGACAGGGAAGATCTTAGAGAGATTGGAAAGAAAAGGTAAGGATCTTAAGTACTTGAGAATGTGAAGGTAGGTGTTGCTGATGAACTTATTCTTACTTGTATATATAGATGCAAGGGCCATAAGGAAATGCTTATCTATTAAGTGAGAGATGTGGAATGAGTGGTGAAGGGGCAATTGCTGGGGTCTTGTTAGTATCGACAAAGGCACGGTTTCATGAGGATCACATGGTGTTGTCGTCATATTCATTATCAAGAATTTCATGGCTAAGACTTGAAGGAATGGTTTGTATATCCCTTCTGGCAGACAAACCGACTCAGGACCCACTCAAATACGAAAGATCTTGGGTCCATAAAAGACTTCTACACAGTAGGAGAGTTGTAACACTTCTCCATTAACGTTAGGGGCAACCTTAGAGACATACAATCTGTCCTACAATAACAGGAAACATGTAACATGGGTGACCTTGACCTTCTATTGCTAGGGTTGGGTGGATCTTCTAAGACAAACCCTTGTGAAGAGCAGATGAAGTATGCCCTACAGTCTGCAAGTAGTCCTCAACACAACCAAATTGGTTGCATTTTATCCAGGTTGTTGTCTATGCTGTGCTGCAATCAAATTGTTCCAAGGAGGAGAAAGATAATATTAAGCCTTACAACTCACCAAATTTCTGGTATGTGTTGCTATATATGTACAACCTTACGGATGAACCTGTTTTCACTCCAAATTTCCGATGGCATGTTTGTTGAGTCCACATACATCGACTATCCGATATTACATGTAATAACTAATTCCCATCTTGTGTGGGTTGGAATCCTGGCATTTGTCTTGGAATTGCAATATCTCTCTACTTAACAAAATAAAGGTATATTCAGTCATTTGTATATTTTCTTACATAAGCTGAAGAGTACTTATGGCCTATGCTACCTGAACTTGAGGTCGAGTATTGAAGACGGAAGATCAAATTTCATTAAGATTTTCCTTATATTTGGAGGATGATACTTTTTATCGTGTTTGAATTTGTCGGACACAAGTAATTTAAAGAAAATGAAGAGTCCAACTCCATATAACTGAGCATGTCGTATGGAGTACTTTCAGAACAAGATAGATCATTTACAGATTAACTAATGATGGAAATAACATGAATAAATAAAAATATATTCTGCAAGGAAATAAAATTCCAACTGATGTGCTTCAAACTGTCATTTTACTTATTGGTACAAGTTACAGTAACCACCATCTCTGGTTTTCCACCAAGGAAGATTATTTCTGCTCCCCAAGGGAAAACGATGGGAAAAAATGTTTACAAAGGGTTAGATATTTGCTTTACAAATCTGTATTTGCTTATTCGTGTTAATTCTCTCACAATCAATTCAAACAAGAGATAACATCGAGAAAGAAGTCTTCGTTGCAGGGAATTGTGAGACCGCCAGTAGGATGACTATATCCGAACTCTTCCTCTTACAGGCCTAGCAAATCTTGAAACGGAGGCTGGTTCAAGAATGACACTGGTATTACAAACCTCTTCTGGTTCTCTCCAACATAAACTGCAAAGTATCCCTTGGGAACTTTCTTAGAGCTCACGATACGAGGCAGGCGGATAGCCATTATTGTTTTTATGGATGTATAAAAGGTAAGATCTTAGAGAACTCGGAAAGCAAAGGTAATGATCTTAAGTACTTGAGAATGTGAAGGTAGGTGTTTCCAATGAGGTTGTATATATAGACGCATAGGATAGAGCGGAAATCATGTCCTATTATTAAGTGTGGCATGTGGAATAATTGAAGGGGCAATTGCTGGGGTCTGATCAGTAATGAGAAAGGCACGATTTCATGAGGATCACATGGAATTGTCTTCCAACTCATTATCAAGAATTCCATGGCTAAGACTTGAAAGAACAGTTTGCCTATCCATTCCGGTAGAATAAACCAACCAAGGACCCGCCCGAAATATTGAAGATCAGGACCTGTAAAATGCTTCTTCAAAGTAAAAGAGTTGTACTATGTCGCTATTTATGTAAGAAGCTACTTTAGAGACATATATTTGTCACGCTATGGCAGGAAACATGTAACGTGGGTGACCCTGACCTCCTATTATCAAGTTAGTCATGTATTCTTTCCATGACTAGCTTGTAAGACAAACCTTGTGAAGGGCACCTGAAGTGTATCATACAGGCTATAAGACTAGTCCTCATCTGAACCCAACTGTTTGCATTTTATCCTGATTGTTGTCCATGCCGTGCTGCAATCAAACAGTTCCATGGGGGAGAATGACAATATTAAGCCTTACAGCTCACCGGATTTCTGGTATGAGTCGCTATATATATATATAGTTCACATTTCTAGTGGTATGTTTGTTGAGTTCTTTGCATATTTTGAACTGTCCATTTGAATATATAAATTTCTTCTACAGAGAAAATGGACCCATAACTACAAAAAATTAAATTAAGTTTGATACGCGTGTAAACTAGATGGGGACACTGTCTCCTAATACAAACAATACAGAGTTCACGGGCTAAACTTTCCCCAAGTTCACGAGACAAACTTCAATCATATATATATATATATATAAATGCCTATAAAAAGAACTGATCCTTCAAAATCAGAGCCAAACCACATAACTGGCCAAGAGAGAATGAAACGAAACTTCCTGCTCTTTTTCTTCATTCTATCATGCAGTCTCACGGTTCCTCTTCTTGGAACTCAAACCAAAGCACTCGACAACGGAACAATATACAAAGTCTCCAAGCAACTCTGTTGGGGTTGTATTGGCGAGTCACTCGAGTTCCTATTCGCTCACAACTTGGTGAGGGCAACCAAATGGGAGCCACTCTTGTTCTGGGATTTCCAGCTCGAGAAATATGCCCGATGGTGGGCGTCCCAAAGAAAAGCAGACTGCAAACTACAACATTCATTTCCAGAAGGTGACTTCAAGCTGGGAGAGAACATATATTGGGGTAGTGGCTCAACGTGGAGACCGAATGATGCAGTGCGTGCATGGTCCGAGGAAGAAAAATATTATGACTACGTGACTAACTCGTGCCAGGAGGGACAGATGTGCGGCCACTACACTCAAATTGTTTGGAAAAATACCAAAAGAATCGGGTGTGCTCGAGTGGTTTGTGACAGCGGAGATGTGTTCATGACTTGTAATTATGATCCCCTGGGTAACTATATTGGCGAAAAGCCATATTGATATGGTGGAGTACTGTAATACCAAAGGGTACCTTAACTAGTGAACTTAACAAGTATAATGAGGTACTCATTAGAGATATATGATCTAAATCATATATTCATATATGTGAACATTATAGAAGTGTATTTAATATGTACTCGAGTTGTGGACATAGATATAATATGGGACCTGGACATATATAAATTTCAATTGAACGATGTGTTTGCAGTCATTTTCCATACTTGTAGAACTTACAGTAACCACCATCTCTAATTTTTCACTTAGGAAGACTTATATATGCTCCCCAAGGGAAAAAAAGGACGGGAAAGAAAGAGTTTACATTGTGTTAGATGTTTGCTTTACAAAATAGGTTGATTTTTCTTAATTCTCTCACAATCAATTCAAGCGAGAGGTAACATCAACAAAGAGGTCTTCGTTGCAGGGTATTGTGAGACCGCCAATAGGATGAGTATATCCGAACTCTTCTTCTGACATGCCAAGTAAATCTTGAAACAAAGGCTGGTTCAAGAATGACACTGGTATCACAAACCTCTTCTGGCTTTCTCCAACATAAACTGCAAAGTAACCCTTGGGAACTTTCTTAGAGCTCACGGTATGAGGCAGGCGGATAGCCATTATTATTTTCAGTGGATGTATAAAAGGGAAGACGGGGAAAATCTTAGAGAACTCGAAAAGCAAAGTTAAGGATCTTAAGTAGTTGAGAATGTGAAGGTGGGTGTTTCCAATGAGCTTATTCTTGCTTGTATATATAGATGCATAGGATAGAGCAGAAATCATGTTCATCCATTATTAGGCTGGAGATGTGGAATGAGTGGTGAAGGGGCAATTTCTGGGATCACATGGAGTTGTCGTCCAATTCATTATCGCCTCAGTCTGCCATATTCGAGTGTGTCCTTGGACTACCAGAAAGGGTAGGCAAACTATTCTTTCAAGTTTCAATTCTTGATAATGAATTGGAAGACAACACCATGTGATCCTCATGAAATCGTGCCTTTCTCAGTACTGATCAGACCAGAGCAATTACCCTTCACCACTCATTCCGCATCTCCCACTAAATAATAGATTAATATGATTTCTTGTGTACCCTATACATCTATATATACAAGTAAGAACAAGTTCATTGGAAACACCTACCTTCACATCATTCTCAAGTACTAAAGATCTTTTACCTTCGCTTTCCAAGTTCTCTGAGATCTTCTCTGCCTTCCTTTTCAGAAGCAAACATCCATCAAAAACAACAATGGCTATCCGCCATCCTCGTTCTTGAGCTCCAAGAAAGTTTCCAAGAAAGTTGATTGCAGCACAGCATAGACAACAAACTGGACAAAATGTAAACAATTGGGTTACGGTAACGACTAGTTGCAAACTTGCAGCCTGTTGGACACACTTCATGTGCTCTTCAGAAGGGTTTGTTTAAGAAGATCCACCCCCTAATACAATCAACTTTTAATATAAAGTTTTCACTTTTCTATTCCATTTTATTTCATTAAAGTCAGACTGCAATAGGATGTCAAGGTCACCCATCTTACATGTTTGTTGTCATTGTTTGTCTCTAATGTTGCCTATATCAATAATGGTGAAGTAGTGTAGCTCTTCAAACTGTGAAGAAGTTTTACAAGGATCCAAATCATCCATATTTGAGTGGTTCCTCAGTCGGTTTGTTTTGCCAGAAAGGGTAGGCAAGCTAGTCTTTGATCCTGATAATGAATAGGAAGACAAAACCATGTGATCTCATGAAACTATGCCTTTCTCATTACTGATCAGACCCCAGAAATTGTCCCTTCACCACTCATTCCACATTCCCTACTTGATGGTTCAACATTTCCTTGTGACCCTTACATCTATATATACAAGTAAGAATAAGTTCATTGGCAACTCCTACCTTCACATTCTCAAGTACTTAAGATCATTTACCTTTTCTTTTCTAGTTCTCTGAGATCTTCCCCGTCTTCCCTTTTATACATCCATCGAAAACATCAATGGCTATCCGCCTGCCTCATATCGTTAGCTCTAAGAAAGTTCCCAAAGTTTACTTTGCAGTTTATGTTGGTGAGAACCAGAAGAGATTTGTGATACCGGTGTCATTCTTGAACTAGCCTTCGTTTCAAGATTTGTTAGGCATTTCAGAAGAAGGTTTGGATATACTCATCCCACTGGCGGTCTCACAATTCCCTGCAACGAAGACACCTTTCTCGATGTTACCTCTCGCTTGAATTGATTGTGAGAGAATTAGCACAAACCAGCTAACACAATTTTGTAAAGCAAACATATAATTCTATGTAAACACTTTTTCCCATCCTTTTTGCCTTGTGGAGCAGATATAAGTCTTCTAAATGGAAAACTAGAGATGGTGGATACTGTTACTTCTATTAAACAGTATGGAAAATGGTTGTAAACGCATCATTCAATTGGAATTTACTTCTTTTCATAACTTCCTATGGTCTCCTCATTTTTTCTATTTTCATCTTTAATTTAACCGTAAATGAATCACCTTGTTCCAAAATTTCTTCATATGATTTATCATTTCCTCTACATATGTCAGTAGAAAGGGTGATCATTCCCACTGTACAGATAATACTAGGACCAAGGTAAATTGCAGATGATACTGTTTAATTAACTTAGATTGATTACCTTATCTTCTTCTACATATCTTTGATATTTATATTCCAATTGTACGGATTATCCTATAATTTCTCTTTCATTTTTCCCTTATACGGCTAATCTGGAAAATCCCCTATTGCATCCAACACTATGCTTGTATACATTTGCTTCATTTCTAAAGCATGTCCTGGCCAAGATAAGAGAATTGCATCTGAAATCTTAGGCACCCAACTTCCAATTTTCCAAAATTTAGCACTACGAAATATTGGTTTATGAAATCACTCTTAAGAAACAACATTCAACAAATCTAATATCTGCAGCCTTTAAGGTCTCCTTTGCATTAAAAAAATCCATCAGTGGCTCGCAAGCATGTCGGTATATTACTTCTGCATCTATATCCATATCTAATTCTATCCATTTACTTTCCATCTAAATCCATGTATCCAACCAGTCCTTTCTAATTGTAGGGCACATTGTTTTGTCAACAAACAGACTCCAGTATGATTTTAGCCCTTAATCTTATAGAATAGTAAGAAGACAGAGCCATGTGAGAACTCTTAAGCCAAAGCAGTGCCACACATTACCACACTTCAGGATTTTTATTTATCAACTTATTTTATAAGTTGTAGGCCACATTGTTCTGTCAACATGCAACAGTATGGTTTTCAAGCCTTAATATTTGTGGAAGTATTGGAAGACAAGACCATGTGACACCCTCTCCAGCAATGTCCTAACCCATTGTTTCACAGCCGCTCACTCAAAGATTTTAAAAGGACTTTCGCATATAATCCTTCTATATATATGTTTTGATGACGAGCCACAGCCAAATCCAGTTTGTGTATTACAAATTCAAAGCTTTCTTCACATTCTCTATTCTCTCAGAGAAAAACATAAAGGAAAAGCAATGGCAATTTGTCTTCCTCGTGCGGCTAAGCATATCCTCCTCGAATCTGCTCTAACAACAAGCAAAAAGATGTTCAGCATCTTTGGATGTACCAAAGGGCTTCTTTCCTGTTTATGTTGGGGAATCCCAAAAGAAGAGATTTTTGATTCCTCTATCCTACTTGAATCAACCTTTGTTTCAAGGTTTGTTAAGCAAAGCCGAAGAAGAGTTCGGGTTCGATCATCCGATGGGAGGTGTTACAATTCCTTGCAATGAAGATGAATTCTTGGATGTTATTTCTCACTTGAATTGATCATAACAGGAGCCAACTAACAGATATTGTACATAAAAAAAAAAAAAGCTTACTTCATTGTAAATAGTTCCCTTTTCATTATTGAAACATACTGAATCAAACATAAATGAGGACATAAATGATTGTATAAGCTTTGGGTTGTTCATCAGCAAAGAAATCAAAACTGTATAGGCTTTAGATTGTTAACAGCAAAGAAACCAAAACTATCTATCACTGACCACGCATAAAAGATTGAAACAATGCTAAATCTTGCTCCGTTGATAAACTGGATCGATTTCTTTCTCGATATTGACATTTGTTGGACCTTTAACCCATCCTCCATCAATGGAATCCATAGGTCCATTCAATCCATCGTCCAAGAAATCACCAACTTTTTTCACTTTAACCTCCCTTGGCATGACTGGGTACTTCCCGGAGAAGCAAGCATAGCAGAAAGTTTGAGAATCACTAGTCAACATCTTCTTCAAACTATCGATTGGAAGAAAAGCAAGTGAATCGCATCCGATAAACTCTCGAATCTCCTCCACACTCATTTGATTCGATATCAACTCCTCTGAGCTCGGTGTGTCCACTCCGTAATAGCAAGAGGCGATAATCGGTGGGCTTGCAATCCTCATGTGAACTTCTTTAGCCCCTGCTTCCTTGAGCAACCTAACAATTTTTGATGATGTGGTTCCTCTCACAATCGAGTCATCGACAACCACAACTCTTTTACCTTCCAGCAAACCACGAACCGGTGAAAGCTTAAGCTTAACACCAAAGTCCCTAATCTTCTGCGAAGGCTCGATGAAAGTTCTTCCGACATAGTGTGACCTGATCAGCCCTTGCTGAAATGGCACCCCTGCTTTGGCTGCATAACCAAGAGCAGCCACCACTCCGGAATCTGGCACAGCAATCACAACATCACAATCAACTGGAGCCTCGGTCGCAAGTATTTCTCCAAAAGCATGTCGTGACTCATAAACGGACCTTCCAAAGACAACAGAGTTAGGCAAAGCAAAGTAGATATGCTCAAAAATGCATTGTTTTGGTTCAGGGTGATGCAGCAAGCAAAGTGATTGAACCCCATCCTTCTTATCCACCACCAGAACTTCACCAGGATTCACCTCCCTCTCATATGTTGCCTCAATCAAATCAAGAGCACAAGTCTCTGAAGCAAACACAACAGCACCATTACTTCTCCTTCCCATAACCAAAGGCCTAAATCCATGGGGGTCACGGACCGCAACAAGTTTATCCTCTGTCACAAACACCATCGAATAAGCCCCTTCAAGCTTCTCGCAAGCATCAACAATCCTCAAAAAGAAAGGCCTGGCCTTCGAAATAGCAATCAAGTGAAGCACAACCTCAGTGTCAGAACTAGTATTAAAAATCGAACCATTATCTTCAAGCATATGTCTCAAAGCTCTGTAGTTCACCAAATTCCCATTGTGTGCAACCCCAACAGACCCAAACCTGTAACCAGCAACAAAAGGCTGCACATTTTTCAACATAGAAGAACCAGCAGTCGAATATCTCACGTGTCCAATAGCCATTTCACCAGGCAATTGACTAAGCTTAGACTCATTAAACACATCAGAAACTAAACCAACACCGGTGATAGATTGAAGAACATTATTATTCACCGCTACAATACCTGCACCTTCCTGTCCACGATGCTGAAGCGCATGAAGGGCCAAATAGCATAGCCGTGAGGCTTCAGGATCACCAAATATGCCCACGACACCACACTCTTCACGGAGCTTTTCGCCATCATCACTATAAGAAAGCACAAAATTCTCCTCCGGGTCTGTTTTGTTCGTCGAAAAGAAGTCAGAGGTGGGGTTTTTAGAGCAGATGGCAAACGGAGGTTTCTGTAGATGGGAAACGGGTTTGAAAGGGAAAGAAGAGCGTTTTGTAAGGGTTTTTGGGAAGATATAAAAGGGAGTTTTTTTAGGTTTGTTTAGATAAAAGGAGGGGCTTCTGGATACGGATTTTGATAGTGCCGATGAAGAAGACAAAGGAGAGATGTTGGCGGAGGCTGCCATGGATGCTTGCTGTGCAGTTCTAGGAGATGAGTGGAAGTAAAACGCAACTGAGGAATATGGTTTTAAAAATGCAGACCCTGTTTTCTCTCTCTAGGTTTTTGACTTCAAAAAGGAGAGAACCAGACTCAGTGCGAGTGAAGATTCTCAATCCATTAAAAGTGGTTAAAATATGCGAAAAATACCTATACTCTTCATATATTTCAAATTTAGTCCTTATATTTTTATTTAGGAATAATAGCAAAAAAGGTCCTCATATTTTCTATCTTTTATTTTTTTCAAATAAAACATTTATATACTAGATCACCACCATACGTTTAAAAAATAATACACGTTAAATTATTTGAAATTAACTGAAAAGGTAGGCTTCAAGGATGAAAATGCAGAATTTAGAATTCGAAGAAAAAATGATCGAATTATTGAATGATCAAATTCGTCAAAATATATAATATAAGGACTTTATGTACAATTTGACATTCGTTCTTCTTCTTCTTTTGTACAATAAATTTGTTTCCCTTTTGTTTTCCTTTCATATTTGGCATGTTAAAATGATAAATCAAATTTTGTTGTCAAATTTTAGCTTCTTGCCGAATTATATAATATAATATTTAAAAAAATAAAAATTACCAAATATGATATTATTAAATATCACTTATCAAATTATTAACAACAATTATTTTACCATTGAGGTCGTTTGATTCGTGTCCAAATATGATATTATTAAATATCACTTATCAAATTATTATTATAATAATAAATAGTATTGAACTAAGAGAGTTAAGATACTTTATTTTCAATAAAAGAGTGTCGAAATTAAATCTTGAACTAAATTACAACTTTTTAAAAGTTGAGAGATAAAACAATAATTTTACCATAAATGCGAATCAATAAAAAAATTGATTCTCATCCAAACATTAGTTAAGAATATCATGTAAAGATAAGTTTGAAAGAGAGTTTCATCATTCTTTTCTTCTTCCTTCCCTTCCCCATAAAATATCAATAAAAAATAAAGAAAAATATTGATATTTTAGAATTTCTCTGTCAAGTTACAAGATATTCTCATTTTCTAAATTATCTCTTCCTAAAACAAATGTTAAATTTAATTATATTAAGAAAACAGATACAATTTCATCCAGTTATTAAGAAAGGTTGATTATTTTCTAAATTATCTCATTTTCTAATATTGATATTCTCATTTTCTAAATTATTTCTTTTCTTGGTTAACTAGTCATTCAAATTAGTTTTCTCTTATTAATAAATCGTTATCTTTTTTTTTATTCGGTGACATTAATTTTAATGTTAGTTGTCGATTTTCGGTATTTTTTATTGACTTTTTATTTTCTTATATTATATTTTTATTTTGTTTTGTTTTTTATTTTCAATAAGTCTGTATGTATACACGTTTTCATCTGGCATTTTTTTCTATTGTTTGGTCATTTGTTTTCAATTATCTTTTTCTAAGGGTTGATTTGACATCACTACGACAAATCAAAATTGTATTTATTTGTTATATTGTTGATATCTCTTACTTTGAACCCTCATATTGGATTTGGATACTCGTTATGTTTTCGTGGATAGCTTTTCACATCGCTCGAGTCTGATTTGCGATTTGTCGATGGTCTTTTAGTAGTTTGATTCTCTTTTGTGGTTTGTTTGTTGATTCGATCAGATTTGTTTGTATTTATCTTTATTTGAGTGTTTTTTGTTAGATTTTAATATTTTCTTATATGGTCCTTATGTGATCTTAAGATGTTTATTTTATTTCAATAATTATAGAAAATTATTTTAATTATATGCTTAATTACGATTATGATAATATTTACTGTAATTTAGGATATTTCTTATTTTGAATAGAATTGGTGATTTTAAAAAAAAAACGATTTTAAGATTTCAACAGGAAAATGGATGAGATATTGTTGTGGGGTGGGGAAATCTCAATATAAGCCACATCCAGAATTATTTTTTCATCTACGGTGAAATCTACAGTAACAATATAAAGACTTTATGATTACTTTGCGTCTTCAGGCCAAACGTAAAAACTCTAAGAGTGCACGTTGTCTACCTATTTGTTTGTGTATGGTTTGAAGATGTCGTGTATTCCTAGAATTTTATCTATTGACCTTAAGACGTCGTGCACTCTTAGAATCTTTACATTTGACCTGAAGACGCCATACAATCATAAAATCTTTATGTTGTTACTGTAGATTTCACTCTAAATAAAAAAATAATCTCTAATGTACCTTATCTCATAATTTTTTTTTTCTAACAACAATATCTCGACAATTTGACCGGTTTCAACGTTAGCAACGTCGACGCCAAATTTATAGCGAGAAAAAGGAGCTGAAACGTTGTCGTTTAAACGCAAACTTCCACAAACATTTTAAAAATGGTAACAACTGCACGAGATTAAACCTCAAGAGTGAAACATGTCGTGTCGTGTCCCCTCTCGTATAAGAGCTTGGGTTATTCCATCCGTCTGTCGCCCAAATCTACAAATAAATCAAGGCAAAGTGATACCGTGGTAAAAAATCCTTTAAAAAAAAGTTTATCCACCTGAGTTTTTTTAATAAAAATATTTCGAACACCTGGAGTGATGCACCATTTTTTTGTTCGAACAGAATACCCTGTCCAAAATTCAGCCATGCAAGGACCCGAAACCAGCTTGGTTGAAGTAAGAGAAGAGGTCATGGTTGCACCAGGTTGCGAAACCCTTAACCCCTGTTCAAAAACAGCTTGTTTCCTCAAACCCATTTTCAGTTCCCTCGAAACCCCACTTCCCAAGCCTGTCTCTCGAACAATCTTCTTTTAAACCCAAATATCTGCCTTTGAGTATCGGTTTCCATGGGTGGAGATGCAGGGCAAGTAGCTGGTCCATTTGGGTTGACAAAATGAGGGTTTTGCATGAATCTACTTGGAAGAAAGCTGGAATCTTGGATGCCATCTTGAACTCCACTTACCAGATTAAGCGAAACATTGATTTAGTTATTGGGTTAGCTGAGAAATGGTGTTTTGAAACTAAGAGTTTCGTTTTCTCTTGGGGCGAAACCAGTGTTACACTCGAAGATGTCATGATTCTCGGGGGGGGGGGGGGTTTCTGTTTTGGGTTCCCCTGTTTTCGCCGAGCTCGATACCGAAGAATCTAAGGAAATCGACGAGAGTTTAAAGAGTGCTCGGATCGAAATCCTGAGAAGCAAAGCTAAAAAGGCCTGCCCGAGTTTGTGGATGCAGAGATTCATGGACAATGGCAGAAAATTCGAGCACGAAGCTTTCCTCGCCTTTTGGCTTTCGAGGTATGTTTTCACCAATGCCTATGAAACGATTAGAGAACATGTTTTCTCCATTGCAGTTCATTTAGCTAGAGGGACAAGGCTTGCTTTAGCACCTACTGTGCTTGCTAGTATTTATAGAGACTTGTGTTTGTTGAAAGATGCTATCACTACTTCGACTAAAATGGGGAAAGAAGAGGTGTTTATGCTTACTCTTTGGTCGCCGAATCCGATAGCAAAAGGTGAGCCGAGGCTGGTTCAATGGCATGATGTGAGTTGCAAGGTTGAGAATGTGAGGTTAGCTCTAGAGTCGGCTGGTGGAAGTTTCGAATGGCGTCCTTATACTATGCAGGTCGATAACTGGAAACAACCTAAGTTTTATAGAGAGAATGAAGTTTGTATATGGATCACTGCACGACTCGATAAAGAACTAGAGTCCTTTGCCCGGTGCTTGAAGGCTTGTGAGCTAGTGGGAGTTGATTGCATAGAACAGTACCTTTCGCATCGAGTTGCAAGGCAATTTGGAATGGATCAGGATATCCCAGGTTGTGTTCCTCAATCGAAAAATCAGACTCTTGAGATTGCGTGGCTCAATTACTGTGAATCACTGACTGGAGTAAAATTATACATTCCATCTCGGTTCTATAAAGCTGGTGTTACAGCACGGTACCTGAAGTGGTGGAAGGATTCAGTGTTCGAGAGCAAAGGCACAGCCAAGGGTTTGAAGAAATCGCCAAAGGAAAGAAGCAAGCGGAAAGTTCTTCGGGTTGCTCTGGCTTTCATCAGAAAATAGAGTTTCCTTGGAAAGAGGGGAGCTAATGATCCATCTGTTTCACCTAATTGCACCTTGAAGAGCTCAAAGAAACAACAAGACAATGTCATCGAGACTAAGAAATCAAAGAATGTATCCCAGATTTTGGAAGAAAAGAAAATGTGCAACAACAAATCGACTTCTTCTACTTCTTGTAGGAAGTACTCTAAGAAATCAGTGAAGAATCCAAAAGGAAACAAAAAGGGCAGGAAAGAATCTTTTTCTCCCAATGTTCAGTTGGCAAGCTCAGAAGAGAGACTACGGCAATTCTGCTTCTCCCGATGTTCCGTCAGGAAGCTCAAAAGAATTAGCACGAACTTTGAAAAGAAAGAAGAAAGACGGCATTGATTCTGCTTCTCCCAGTTTGAGCAAAAAACGCATGAAAAAGTCTGCAGAGAAATCTAAAGGAATGAAGAAAGATACCCCTGTGTCTGCCTCTTCTAGATCCACTTTCGGAAGCTCCCAAAATCCAGCATCAGTTATGAAAGACAAGGAGGAAGCCAGCAGCGATGTCGCCTCGCATGTTTTACCTTCAGCGAGTGCAAAAGAGTCACCATGCACCATAGAAAGAAAGAACGAATGCAGTTCCTTGGACCCTATCGGTCTTGAGCGTATCTCTAAAGGAAAGGAAGCAGAGGATTCTACCGAGGATTATGACCCAACAATTGCAGAAATAATAAGATCCTGCAAGAAGCGACGCATTATTGTAACTAAAGACTCCGACAATGATGGAAACCCATCAGGCCATTCCCAAGGTCTTTCATCGACAAATGCAGATAACAAGGTTGTTAAATACTTGGAGCCATTAGCAACGTTGGTAGAAAAGGTGGTTGAGGACGAATCCGTTCTCAGATTAGGGGAAACTTTTGAAGGTCCCTACAAGGTGTAAAGATTATAAACAATTGTCTAATCTATGTAAACAAGAAAGAAAACAAATGAGAGAAATGAATCTTCTGAAATTCATTATATCAAGCGTGAGTATTACAACTCTTAAGGGGAGTATTTATAGCTAGTA